CTGGACTCCTTATTACCAACCTTTCCTTTTTCAAAACTTAGGATGGTAGATTATGAAAAATGCTTGCTTCTGTATCATCTTTAGTGACTGTTTAGATAAATCATGATGGTATTTTTAAAAACAAGCCTGTGAATTTTGCAGACTATTTTTTTTTTTAAATAAAGAGGGCCTTAAATTGCCTGCCTGGTTCTCAGGGTCTCAAATATCAAGTCACCAATGTTGCTATCACAAAAGATCTTGCGTTGATCTTTTTCCTTTTACATTTAGACATGGTATTGGTGCAGGCAGGGGTGAACCCTGAGGCCTAGCTATACAAGATGAGAGCAGTGATACTGAAAATTAGGTGTGTAACTATTAATGGAAATAATCCCAGAATAGCGATAGTTTAGCTTGTTATTAAGTTGTTGTTGCTTCTTACAAATAAGTCTGCAGGTGGTCTTATAATATATTTGTAAAGCTTACACCTATCACTAATAGTATCATACTGCTTCCTGGCAGCTTCTTCTACTCTGTTCCAACTATTTGTCTCTGTACCTATAAATACTTCTGTCTCCTGTAACGTCACTTTAATTTCCCCCACTTTCTTCAACCTTTTTATAATCCTTTATTTTAACAGCCTCCAAATTAATGACTGTTTCTAGTTGAAGATATTTGGATTTCAGTGCATATAATGTATTTGTACATTCTGCCACCTTAATTTCATTATGTATAGTTCTAAATGGATATAGAAATCAGGCCTAATATAACAGTTACATACATGCTTAAGTTTTAGATATTAATGCAGATCTTCAAGTAGAACTAGCTGACAAAGGAGGTTAACCCATCAAATGAAAACCGAAACTGTGTATGTCACAAGAAGGAAAAATTCCACGGAATTCTGCCCATTGGTACGTGTCTAATTGTGGCAGGCAGATTTGAGATTTTCTGGTCACAGCTGCAAGCTGAGAGTCTGATACCATTTTCTGCTGCCACATTAGCTTCAGCAATCCCAACTTGAACTGACATCACAGACTGTTAAAATTTTATAAATTGTGGTATGATTAATCCCTCAGTACACTGGAATGACTTAAATATTTAGAATGTTTCTTCTGTTATGACTTTAATGCATGTAAAGTAACAAGATTAACTCCAGTGCACTCAAATGTATTTAAATATGTATTCTCCTTGAGCTGTAGGGCTAGTTCTGCATGTAAGAATCATTGAGCATATTTGGTCATGTCAGACCCTATTTGCATGACCTACTGTGGATATTGGCCTGTGTATGAGAACTGGATATCTGGCCTTTTCAGAGGTTGTCTGATTGCTTGCCTCATTTGGCATGGAATGTGATTCCCTGCTATTCTGGCTTCTTATTCATTCAGTTTTTATTGCTGTGTAATTTTCTTATTCTAAAATAAAAGCTCTCCAACAAAAATTACTATGCATTAGGCCGCAGTAGCCTACTCAAATGGATATTAATACAGTTTATCTCTAAAAGGACGAATAATGTATTTGAAACACATAAAAGGCCCTCCACTAAATGAGGAATGTTAATATCTTATGGCATGGTTAATAAAGAGATATTTCACAAGGGAGACTTGTTTTATGACTTTTGATACAACAGACTTGTAATCTGACATATCTTAAATGATATAATTTTGCACATCCATTCATCTCTTTTACATCCACCAGTCTATTTTAGTAAAATTTGCATTCAGGACAAATTACTGGTGCTAATTATTTATTCTACTACATATCTAGAGACAGATACCATACCAAACAAGTCTATAATGAAAATTGTGAATTGGCAACATCTGGAAACTTGTTTGTTTTCTATCTTGGATAAAGCCAAATGTTTACATTTTTGTTGCCTTTGAAGCAATGTTTAAATTCTGCACATTCTCTTATGCTGAGTGAGAAGGACTAGCACTAGATAATTTCTTTGAATAAATTACCCAAGTACCAAGTACATTAATTCTCAGCTATCGGGATGCTGACAGATGTAAAGGACTTAGAATAAAGAACACCAATATTAACATTACACAAATTTGCTTTATTTCTCTTCATATTTCTTCTTCATCCCTGACTTTAGCTTACCAAGGCTGCTTCTCTAATTATCCACGAGGTCAGTAAGCAAAATTGGGAAGAAGCTGGGAGATCAATACAAATTATCCCTGAGCAAACCAGTGCTGACAGTTTGAATTGCAGCATATGTTTACCCAAAATCAGGCAATTTATCTTAATATCAGCAAAGTAATGCAGTGCAGGTGAAAGGTCAGGCAATCTCTCCACCTCATAATTACCCAGTTCTAAAACAGGAAAGTGGTATTGATTGGCCTGGCTCAGTGTTCGGTGACTGGGACGTGCCAATGCTTTGCCCTGGCTCTGCTGGACTCTCAGCTTGTAAACTCGACACACCAAGGATTTATTAAATGTGTGCAAAAGGTCTTCTGTTTTCTCCTCTAGCTGTGGATTTTGCCAGGGAAGTCTCTCCTAGCCCTCATTTTGTCAGGAAAGAAGGTGATAGATCTTGTGCATATGTACACTTCTCTCCGTTCATTGAAGGCTGAAGGCCAGAGCTGCTAGAAGTTCAAATAAGAGTAGGAAAGGAGTCAAGGTGGATTTAGCCCATTATTAGTCGATCTGTTCTGCATGTTCTTTGAGGTACAGAGGCAAATTGAATAACCTAATGCCCAATTATCAGAAGCTCAAAGAATTTTAAATACAAGACAGCTTTATCGTAATTTAAAGAGAGGGACACTCTTTTCTCATTCTTGCATGCAAATGTATGCATGTACGTAAGGTCACAAAATGCACGGTTATATGTGAGTCTGAATTCTGCTTGGAATACTGTACATTTGCCAGATGAAAGACATGGAATTCTACATGTTATGAAGGGACAATGGACTAATTATTATTTCAGGCAGAACAATGTTCTTCCATTCTTCAGGTTTTAATCATTGTCTTCCTAGTGCCAGTCTAGCTTTGCAAATTATATCTGTAGAATTTAAAATTCTTTTATGGCTGTATGGTTGATAATATAAATTGAAATGAAACATTTGGAGGTGCGATTTCTAGCATAGAAATCTATGGTTATTATAAATCATAAAGCTTTTGAAAGCTTGCATCAAAGCCCCTATCACCTGTCAGTGATATCTGCATGAAATCAATTGAGGTTGGCCATCAATCTTTTCTCATCACCTTCCATCAGATCTTTCATGAAGTCAAGCAGCCATAGTGATTAGCTGGAAAGTTAAAGAAGCAACAACATATCTGATCTGTTATGCAGGCACTGACCGCTACCCTCTTTTTTTTTGGTGGTGGTTGTTCCTTAATTGGGAACAGTAACACTTTATGTAATATTTTATAATTTGCCAGCAAGTCATTTTGTGAGGCTATAGAAGGTCGTCATCTGTTCCAACCTTCTTGGCTTCTGCCTGACACACTAGGAAAAGGACCAGGCAAAGACATGACAAATTGTCCCCCAAGTCAGTGCTGACAGCTTCTGATGATTAATGGTCTGATTATGAAGTGGTTTTACACATATAGAATTTACATCACAGAGAGTTAGAAATTTTGCCATGTCACAGACGCCAAGGCATTTTGAAGAGCTTTACTATTTGCAAAGAAAAAGGAGGGTGAAATCCCAGCAAAAGCCATGTCATGTACAATCAATACATTGGATCAATGCTTTATTAACAAGAAAATGTCTTACTTCACATTCCTATGTGGACCTTTGTCTCCGGGATGCATGATGGAATGTCAAATCATATTGCAGTCTTCAACTTTCTGCTATGTTTATTGAGTGCTTGTTGTGGAAGCCTCCATGCATTGATTATGAGATGTACTATTGTAATGTTTACGTAAAAAAAAAGCAAAAGGACTTAACAATAATATGAGACAATTATTTCAAAAACGCAAAAAAAAAAAAACCCATAACCCAAATATCGGGGTGTATTAACACACAAGTTAATTGTAAGCTTTTTTTAAATTATTTTTTAGCTGTCGCTTTTGCTCAGCAAACTGCTGAGCTGTTTGGTGTTAATCATCAAATTACATGCTGACTAATGAGTGATGGTCTGAATTCTACGCTGAGTAATGAATAGATGGAGGCAGTTCTTATTAGTCCCATTGATTTATGTAGCGCCATGCACCATGCAGTTACTCTGTTAAAAACGATATCTACATCAAGGAGTAATATACTCTAATAAGTATTTTCATCTTAACTCGAGTCGTTGGGCCTCCAGGCTCAGTTTTTGTTTGAGTCAGGCAGAGCTATAATAAAGCCCTATGACTCCTTACAAAGCTTGTTAAACACAATGTGTGCAGTCTAACTGAGTCAGATTCATGATTCATGCACTGTACACAGCAGCATGTGCTGCTGATTTATGACCAAGCACAGTTCATAGTCAAAATTACAATTTGAGGGATAAAAAGATTAATTACTATTTGTGGCCTGCAATTTTGTGAGGCTAGTGGTTTGCAGCTGTAGAATGATAGTGCTCTACATCAGTCTGTAGTCAGCCATTCACAGATTATTAAAGCTTTGCAAGATTAAGTGCTCCTCCTGCCTGGTTTGCGCTCAGGCAATATGCTAGACAAAAAAGGACCACAGGGATAAATCTGAAGCAAGCAATAGCTGGACATATGTCATAATTGCCAGTTTCCCATAAATTCACAGACAGTATAGAAAATGGAGCATGATGCAGACATCATATTGTGACTCTGGTGATCGCTACATATGGCTTCAAGACCTGTAACTTTTGTTATTGTGCCAACCATGTTAATCGTTTTTTATTTTTTCAAATATGCATTTTTGTTGGCAAACCCCGCCCCCCCCCCCAATTATGGACAGAAAGAATCCTCTCCATGAGTGAAAACAAGAAGAATCCGGAAAATGAGTCCCAAGAAATCTGCTTCTGTTCTTTTTTTAATTTGCAAGGGTTTAGTCAGCCTGTTCTTTGCATATGCTTGTTAAAAACTAATAGCCAGACTGACACACTGTTCTGTCCATTTTTCAGCCCTTAATGAACCAACAATAGATTATGGATTCCAGAGATTGCAGAAAGTCATCCCGCGGCATCCAGGTGATCCAGAACGGTTACCAAAGGTTAGTCACTTTATGTTTAGAAGTTTCCGTGAATTTATTCTCATCACATATATGATCAGGCATAGCAAAATCAAGAGTTGCAATAAATAAAATGTGTATGTGCATGTGTGTGTGTGTGTACAGTTACACACACACACACACACACACACACACACACATATATATACACACAAACACACATACACATATATATGTATGTATGTATGTACAGTATGCATATATGTATGTATGGTATTCAGCTTTGCTTGGGTATTTTCCCACGTCATTATAGTTGTGCTTTTAAAGGTACCAATCAAGAAATGACAACACAGCCAATCTCCCCACCAGTATATACAGGGAGACGGCAGCTCTGATCATGCCTTGCTTGCACAAGCATGAAGCCGAAAGCACCAGCCTGAAGATGGAGAGTGGGACCTTGTCGAAACGTTGCCAAGATACTCTCAATCTTACACAGGAAAAGACCTGAACATCCCGAACATGCCAAGACACACACACACACACACACACACACACACACACACATATATATATATATATATATATATATACTTATTCATGCCTCTTACAGACATTTGGTGAGGGTATACATAATGTCTGCTGAGTGGTTTTATTAAAAGAAGAAAAAGAGGGAATGGATTTTCTGATACAAATATTTTGGATTCTACGAGAGGGACATAAAACTTCCTGCGTAATGAAATTGTTCAATTAAACATTTTCCACTCCAGTAGCTTGTAGTGATTTCAATCTAAGCAGCCCCACTCTGATCTGTGATTATTTGACTCTTGTTTTCCTTTCATTTTCTAAAGCTCGATTCAGTTTAATCTTTTGTTTACAAAGCTTTTGTTATAAGTCCCTGACTTAGCAAGCTAACAAATGAAGTCCACATATTAATTTCTAGAGGGACTTTCCATTTAAATTCATAAAAGACAAAAGCTGCCTATGTTGTTTATGCACATGATATATCACAGAATTTTCATTTTTATGTAAAACATTAAAGATAAGTCATGCTTAGAAGTTTTCTGTTCTTTGATATAGTTTTTTTCCTCTTCCTTTCTTTTGTTGCAATCTCTGATTTTTTCCCCAAAACAATCTTGAAAGTAAATGAAAATGCACTTATATCATCTTAACTGATTATTTTATATGCTCTTCTTGTGGCACACAAGTCTTGACCACCTCTGAGTTTTATTAGCACAATAAAAACCTTTGAGACATTACCCTTTTTAATGCTCAGCATGAATGAAAGCCTTCAGTTGGCTCTTTTTTTAATTTGTGAACATGTTAGTAATTCATATCAGATTATTATTATTAGAATAAGAAGTTGCAGGACCTCTTTAAAATGTATGTTAGATACCTCAGCTTGTGAACCTTAATACACCAGGGTAGCACTAAACAGGAAGCAGCAGGCTTTTACCCAAAGATCATGAATGGAGAGTGTGTAGTTGGGATACCACAAATGCAAACAAGTTTTGCCTACAGAGATTTAATCCAAAACCTGTATATATGTAACCATTTAAGAATGTTAATATTTCTTATCGCTCATTGTTCTTCTGGCTATTGAAATAATTTGCATCTTGACTGTTTTTCAAACAATGGCTTGTTTGGTTTGCTCACTTAGTATGTCGCACAAATCCTATCTATTGTGGTTTTCTCAATCAACATATGGTGAAACAAACCGTGCCTTCAACTGCTGTCTTAACCTAGTCATTGTGTCCACACACACATTTTATTTCCCCTTTGAAAGTATTACACTCTATATTGTACCACGCTGGAGCCTCTGTATAAAGGTGAGGGGTTTTCATTCCAGCTTCTTCAACTACAGTATATAACCTGAAATTTTATTTTTCAACCAGAAGAACTAGACTCTGTTTCAAGTAGAAGAACTAGATTGTCAAGGGCTTTCTGTTCTGGAATTAAGGGCTTTCTGTTCTGGAATTTTATTATCTGCATAACTTTAGGCAGTCAAAATTAATTGGATCACTGTTTCTTCAGTTTGCTATATTTCTCATAGTATATAAATTTGTTCAGCGCAGAGCTCTTACTTTGGAAATGATTCTAGGATACATGGTATGTCTTCAACTGTGTACAAATAGAGACTGCAGAGATGAAAAAGTGCCAGTGCCTTGACAGGCATGCCTGGAGCATTTCCTCAGAAGGAGACATGTTCAGTGCTACCACAATGATGGATGACTCAAACCACCTGCTGGACATCGGTGGCATGGCACTGGAAACAGGTGCCTGCCCATAGAGCAGGTGATCCCTGCTCTTAGAATAGAGTGTGCTAACTTTGTGTAGAAAGCAGGATTTTCCTCCTATCTTTGCTGCATGCGATGACTTCTGCAGCAACATATATTTCTGCAATATGGAAAGTAATTTGGAATAAAGCAGTCCTTGATCCTGGGAAACCATTTCTGTGCACATTTTCTTTGCATGCATGACTAGTCCCACTGTAGAGAGATACACCTGCGTAGGATTTAGGTACACACACCAACCAGGATTTTAGAGTTAGCAACTGCAACATACATAATCTATTGTACTCCTATAAGTTTACTAGATTGTGTTTACAGAGGCTTATATTCAAGCATCTGTCAATTCCGTGTTCTCTTATCAAATTTCGGTTACAATCAGCTACAAATCTTATTCCTTCGGAGGTTTAGATGTAGATGTACAGAGATAATTCGTTCAGGATGTAAAAGTTCAAATAATAATGCCCACACAATAACCTGAGAA